GATTTCGTGTCTCTAAATTCTTCCTTCGAAATTAAATTTAAAAGTGGGTACCATTTGTTTTTTTTCTATATTCCAAATGCAGTCATACGAATGCAATATATATGTATAAAAATGTAGATCGGCCTTTACCATGTTTACAACTAAATGTCCGGTTAATTGAACCAAAAATACTATTGGCTTTAGTATTGCTGTGTAAATAGTAGATACTTTTAAATAATACTACCAATATCTTTTTTATTCATTTTCAATGATATCTTAATTGTTTATAGCATAAACATATTCAGAATTATTTCTTTTATAGTTGACGTGCTTTCATTTATTGACATTACATTTAATATCCAATAACTTATAAAGTTCGAGATTGCATGTTAGTTACGTAAGCGCGTCACTGTTTGTGATATCCTATGGTGTCTGCCGTTGATGGAATATGTTCTATGTTGTTCAGCGGTTTGCATGTTGTGTCAGCTATAATATTATTTGTTTGTGCTTAACTCTGCGATGAATGTTCTTGCGTGTGTTTGTGCTGTATTTCTGTCACATAGTGTTGTCATTTTAGCGATATTTTTTTAACATTGTCATAAAGCGGGATATTTGACTAGCCATTAAACAAGGTTCAACCCACCATTTTTTTTAAATGCCCTGTTCCAAGTCCTGAATATGGCAGTTGTTATCAAATTGTTTGTTTCTATGTATATATTGGCGTTTGTTTTCACTTCAGTGTTCCTGTTGTGCTTTTTTTTCCTCTTATAGTTAATTTGTTACTCTCGGTTTTAGTTTGTAACCCGGATTTGTTTTCTCTAAATTGATGTATGACTTTTGAACACCGGGATACTACTGTTGCCTTTATTTGATCAGTTGTAAAGTGCATCATAATCATTTTGTAAGACATATGATATTGTAGATGGTGCATAAATTTTGATTTAGATACTAGAAGGAATGCTTCATACCTTGATCTCTTCCTCAATAATGACACAGATGGACGACACTAAAATCTTTGACAAACGGGACGATTTCAACTTCCCAATTATCAATTTCCCATTTCTAAGCAGTAACATACTCTTTGCTTCATCGTATGGTGTTTACATATCTGAGTTGATATGTTATGCTCGTGCATGTTCACACTATACGGACTTCATATACAGGAGTGTGCTCCTTACGCAGAAACTGCTCCAAAAAAGTTATGAGGAGGAAAGATTAAAAATGACACTCAGTAAATTGTATGGATACCATCACGCACAAATTGATTGATCCATCCGATGTGTCTGTCTCTAAACTAACTAAGGACATCTTTACCATGTCTAAGATTATGGTTTACCATTTACGTCGTCTGGTCTTTTAAGTACCGAGCGTGACCTATTCCCGAATATGACTGGTTTGCTGAGTGTGAATTCGCATTGCTATAAAACGTGTCTCGGTATTTGTTTATCCAGCGTTCATGTATTTAGTTATGATGTTTTATTTGTAATTCTGATCGGATATTGTTTTGTGTCTTATCGTTCGTAGTTGTAATTCTGTTTTTTTTAATTTTTATTTCGTATGTAAAAGTAAAGATACTTAATCACCCAGTTCATTTGTATGTTTTTAGTTTAAAGCAACTATGTGTACAGGATTTATTTGTTTTACACTGCTCGATTTTGAAGAAAGGCCGACATAGTTAGATAGTGCTGTTAGTTGCACAATTACTAACACAATTCTATATTAATATTCTTGTAATTATTATAAAATACATCGAATAACATAATTACAAACTTAATCTCGATTTCTATCTTATTTTTAGAAATTTACCTGTGACGTCACTTTTTGTGGTGTTAATAAATTTGTGTGACAAACAGTTCGTAATTCTATTATGCTTTTTTTGTGTACTGTCCTAAATTAATTTTAGGTATTCGTTGTTATTCTGGGGTTAACATGTCAAAATGTACTATTATATTATATATTTATGTATTACCAAATATAAATTAGAGCATATAATATTCAAACCAAATCTTTTAGAAACATATAAAATGTAAACCAACGTGTCTAGTAAGTCATGACGTTATATTTGACTTTTCATTTTTTTTTCCAAAATGTCGGAACATTTCAAAATCTCTACCAAAAAGATAAAATGAACAAAACTGAGACAAACCTTTGCTGATATTTATTTCTTCTATCGAATTGAACTTTGCAGTTCATATAATATTCTGGGGCTTGCGATTCTATGATTCATTGATGCTGCTTGCATGACAATTTTATCAAAGATCCCATGTATGGAAACATTCGAACGTTTTCGGACGCCATCAGCATATGCTGACAGTGGTAGTGCCAGGTAAGTCACAAATGATAATGGGTATTTTCCACTTCCACAATCTTTTCTTATTTTTTTGGTACACGAAGATGATAAATAAACAATATTAATCACAGAATTTAATTATCATGATTCTTCCGGTGCATCCTTCATGATGGCCCCAATTCAATTCACAAACACGTGTATGTATTATCGGCATTGTTTTGTCATACAAATGTAAAAAATGTGTATGCTATCGCCACTGTTTGATATCTAGAAACTTTTTTGAATAATATGCAGTCTTTTGTTATAACTTTTTATGTTTACATGTTTGATAAATGGCGTCAAATATGTACCCTTAATCTAAAGAAATTATCAAATACCTAAGAAAACAAAAAGCTCGTGGACAAATTTATTTATATCTGGGTCCTTTCACTGGCTCTGTCGGCCAAGTTCGGGAAGTTTACCCGATGCATAATTAATGAGATGACTAAGCACACAACACGATATTAATTATGAAATATTAACACTACTGTAGTTTTGGTAAACATTCCAAAAATCTTATTGTGAGTTTTAAGTACATATCTTTGATTTTAGCAGCTTTAAAACTTGGTTATAATTTTGTCAAAATCGTATCTACTATCCCTTTAACACTTTGCTGGATAATATTCATGGAATGTCGAATCGTTATGACAGGTTAGATATCTTCCTGTAACATCAACCAATTTGCAAAGTGGACTGACATGTAAAGGCGATTGACAAGTTTTTTCTAGGCTGTTCGTGCGTGGTATGCTGTCTAGACATATTTAATGTTTTCGTTATCATCTGCTTCAAGCCATCTGTGCCATCATTTTGTTAACTTATTTATACCATGCAAGGATAGTGTTGTACATTTTAGTAATTATACCAGGTTAGCACACATGTATTTCTGATAAAACAATTTATTGAGTGCATGTCCATATAACGGTTATTATTTGATGTAAGTATGAAACACATGCATATATTTCAGAGCACAATTTGCCAAGTTAGAATTAAGATTATGCTGAAACATTGGAATTGTTGTACTATTGAACGATTCGCCAGACGTAGTTGAGCTATTGTTGTTGACAATATTGTCCACGGCTGCTTTTGTGAAACCATCAGGTTTCATGGGAGGAACCACATACTCAATTTGGAATATTTCATCAATGGAATCCTCTAGTACTGTAGATAAATAAATAATTGGATTATTCATAAACGACAAATGTAAACTGTACATTTTGTCATTTAATACCTCCTCCTTTATAATAGAAAAATAAAACAAGACGTTACATTGAAATGCAAAATGTCATATATGCCTCAATGAAATATCTTGACTGCATCTGACTATTTGGCCAAACGATTATCAACTAACATGACTAATGTGCTTAATACTGTTGAACCAATTTTTGCCTACATTATGACTTCTTGAACTACCGGTATCGCTGTCATACAAACAAATTGTTGCGTTTGCTTGTTTTATTGCAAAACCAAAATAATCACTTAATAAAAGAAACAAGCCCCTGCCTTGTGAATGGCCTGGTATTACTGCAATTATTAGATCATTACTATGTCTACTTCAAGTGGATCACAGAGAAAACTGTCCGACACTTGAAATATACGTTTTAGTTACGTCTAGCTTAAATATTTGAATAACGCCAGTGTCTATACGTGATTCACTCTTTGTAGACAAATGTTCTGCAGGAATGGTACTGTAGTTACGATTTTCTATACTTTCCTCACACATCTGTTTATGTTGAATGTGGCATACACTTGATGTTATAGAGCACTTAGCTGAAGGTATTTTAAACTTAAACACTTTGTAACCTTCTATAAGGGAATTTTGTCGGTTTTGATATCATATGGCGGTCATCTTGGAAAAGCTGCAATATTTCAATTTCAAGTTGGGTCCATAGCTTATATTGTTCGAAGCACACAGCACTACTTAAATGACAAAATTACACTATATAAAGGATGTTTGTTGTTTTTGATATTTTGTGGCGGCCATCTTGGAAAAGCCGCCATATCGAATTTTCATGGCAATATTTTTTAAACCACAAGCACTACTGCCATGCCAAATTTGACTAAAAATCTGACCTTATATAAGTGATATATGCTGTTTTTGATATTTTGTTGCGGCCATCTTGAAAAAAAGCCGCCATTTAAAAATTTCTAGGTGGGTACACAGCTAATGTTATTCAAAAAACCAAGAACTACTTCAATGCAAACATTGGTGCTTTTATCATCAAACCTACTGATCTACCAGACTACAATGCAACTTGCTGTCTACGTTCAGTTACAAAGTCAGTTATCTATTGAACACGGATACCGTTTAAATACAGTCTCTTTCATAATCTTTTTTTGACTATTTGTAACTAAAACTGTATAAATTTCCCGCATTTCAAGCTCCTTTCTTGGTTTTCGCTAATCATGAATGCTCCAGTCCATATATTGAAAAGCCAAGACTTTATCAGAAAAGAAACACTTTCAGAGCTATATGACAAAACGAGGCCTAAAACAGTCATGTCCGTTTAAGGTTTACCTTGCCTGAGGTAGCTGGAACCTTAGTTTCTTAATAACTTCTAAATTTATTGAAAATGATACATGTGTTACACAAATGTCAGGACAGTTTCGATATAAATCTTGAACAATTTACACAAAAGACGATAATTTATCAACCCTTTAGGTCGGAATCAAATGAAAAAAATAAATATAAATCAATCGTTCGTATATGAGTTTATTAGAAAGAATATGTTAATATGAAAATCTACAATAAAAATTTTTATTTACAGTATGATTCTTGCGAGTCAATGTATGAGAAATTTACTGCTTCCTGGATTCTGCAATTTCTTTCCAGAGTATGGAATTCCCCTTCTTCCATTAAAGACATAAGAGACATTGTCACAATCCAACTTTTAAAGTTTCCAAAACAAGAATATGTTAATTCAGATTGTATTAATGACCTACTCAAAATTTGCCAAAATCAATAAAAAATTTTTTTTTACCTGTTTGTATGGATTGATTTCTTAAATAGATATTGAAACATTTGACTGCAATGTTATTAAGGTACAATCAATAAGCCAAAAAAACGTTACGATATTTAAGTACACGGCTGAAGATGTTATTAATTTATTTTCATGCATGTGAAAAATATATATCTACGGCCGTATCATTTTCATGTTCTTTTCATTACAGTATATGAGTAAAAGGCTCATTGCGTGTATGTTGTTGACCATTCTTAATTTAGAAAAAAGAAAAAAAAAACATATTACAATAATCATTTTATCTAGAACACATGTGTTAGTATATATCTTAAATATTATCAAACTTTTTCACTCATATTTTATAGGGATGATCACAAGGAAAACAATAAAGAAACGCTATTGGAATATACAAAACATACTTAATTAGTATAGATCTACAGATGATTTCTTTGCGCTGATTGATTTATTTACATTTATTGCTTTTTTGCTTTGTAGAATAAAAACACAATTGCAAATATAGCATATTATGAAATCTTAAATTCTAAAAATACATGAGTTATTTCGTAAAAGTGTCCCGAACATTAAATAAGGATCAAATTGAAGACATTAAAATTCACAATGACCTACTCTCTGTTATGCACCAAGTTCAGATTTAGATGATCTGATTACTTCGAAACATGATTTACCAGTTTACATAAACATATAAATCACATTGACCTACTTTTTATGTACATGTATTATATGTGTATAATGCATAAAAGGAAATGTGGAGTAAATATTAATGTACCAGTAAAGCTTAACGACACATAACACAAAAGATATCTAAAAATAGAAATAAGGTCTCAATCAACTGACCTATGTCACATGCATGTCTAATAATTTGCCAAGCAATTTATTAATGAGAGTGACAATAAGCATATTTACACAAGTTTATGTAATCTTAATCATTATATTCACAAAGATATATGTATGAATTCGCACGTTAAACAAGACAAACACCACTTTGATTATTAAAACATGCACTGTATTTTAACCATAACATATGGGTCACATAAGTTTCCTCCTGTTTGAATATGAGGATAGTGGGTCTACAATTTACTAAAATTGATTTGACATGGAAGTGGTGGATACCATGATTGTTTTTCCTCAAATTCAATGAGACAAACTCAAAACGTCAAATATTAACCATAATTATTTCTATATTAGCAGACATTCTACAAAGCAAGTTATGACACATATCAATAATTCGTTAGAACATTCCAATGATATCGTTAAGTTATACAAGATTATACAAATTTTCAGGTAATTACTCAATAATTAGAAAAATAATCAAAAATAAAAATGTTAAGATCGCTTATCCTCAATTATTTCCAAAAATTAAAAGACAACGACAACCAACTATAGGCTCCATAGAGTAGTTTTGTTCACCTAGCTCTATTTGCATTTTTAACGATAGACACCCTCCAACATTGTGGATCTTGTATTATTGATTTTTTTTCTGTTTACAGTTTCTCTCCATCTTCTTTAGTATTTGTCTAAAAACTAAAAAAAAAAGCCTACGCAGCTATATATCAGCCACAACAAAAGTCGATAACTCTTTTGCTACAAATCTTCTGGAAAAGGGTCGATAAGTTCTTACATTAAATTATGTGCAATAAAGACAATAAAGACAATAGTAATATACCGCTGTTCAAAAGTCATAAATCGATTGAGAGAAAACAAATCCGGGTAACAAACTAAAACCGAGGGAAACACATCAACTATAATATATATGCAGTATATCTACGGTAGGTCAAATATTGATAAAAGTTTAATCAACCAAAATTGTTAAAATACAAAAATCAAAAATGCCCCAAATCATCTGCATAGAGTTCAGGCTTAAATGTTGACGACAAGTTTTACATACAGAAAATTAGAAAAATTGATGTATTTTACTCTTGATATAGTTAATCAAAATGTTATGTTAAACACTAAGAGGCTGAACATATTAATATTTAATTATTTGTTTTCATTATTATTGTAATGATATATTATTCAGTGCTGTGAGTGAATATTTTCCCCGGGGACAAAGTATGTCGTATATTACTTTAAAACCAAAGACAATTGTCTCTGAAAAATATACCTATATACTTTTAAGGTGCACTAGCTACGAGATATGAAAAAAAAATAGAATATGATTTTGTATGGTTCAACCATTAATAAAAGTGAAATAATGAAATAATAATTCGCTATTAGCAGCCAATTTGGTTCAATTTTGTCAAAACGAGCAAAGAAACATCGCTGATGAATTATTCACTTGCAAGTGGATGATTCGACCTCATTGAATCCGTATTCATGTGACCTTCTATTTAACCCATTAGCCAGAGATTGGTTATGCATAAATTAGTCGTGGTCAGCCATTAAAAGGAAAAGAATGTCAACATTTAAAGTGAAACTAAGGTGAACCATTCATTGACTGATTCGATCCACAAAAATACATTCTTATGCAGGTAAAAACGATAATTAACTGATGTTTTAACCTATAACATGAAATCAAACAATCCTAGACAAATTCAATTGCACGAGGTCGCTATCTAGTTATATTGATGTTTATGTCGGGTTTTGTGACCATCGGCAGTCTTTGGAGGTCATCTCGAAAGTTAATCAGATGGCGTATAGACTCAAATACACACGAAATTCTGATATATATTATCTAGAATATGCATTGGTAACTGTTTATTTCAGACTTATTGAAATTTGGATATACGTTTTAGTATCTTATCATGGAAATATGAGAATTTGAGTCAAAAACATGAATTTGACTGCTAATGCCCCTTAATATGACACAAGATACTTAACTAGTATATTTGATAACATTGCAATTGGAAATAACTTTGTACACGTGATTACAACAAGTATTGGTAATTTGGTGTTGCATACGTTTCCTATGTATATCTTGAATAATGATAAAGCACGTAATTTAAACAAAATTTAGACTGTCATTACTAACATTTTAGGAGGAATTATGCTCGACCACTAAGGAAAGAGATGCAAAGGTAGAAAAAAGGTCAGATTTACGAAATGATTTAGGTTATTCAAGGGCCTATGCAATTTCTATGAGAAAAACTGGTGAAGTGCCAAGTCATGAAAGTCAAAGTGATGTCTGAATTTGTTGTTAATGCGTAAACAATTCGTCCTTTAACTATTCATATAAAGGGTCTTCCAACAATTTCAGCAAAATTTGACTAATTTAAAGATCTAGTCTTGCTGATCTTTTTTGCCTGTTTACGTCATTAAGATATTAGGCATCAACGCAAAAAATTGCTAACACATTCATTGTTAAAGGGCAATAACCCCTATGAGGATATTCGGACGATTTTAGCCAGTTGACTTATTAGCAGATATTGCCTTCCGGATAATTTTTGCTATTCAATGTTTCTCTCTATCAATAATTGATTTAAAGATAATAATCAATAATGAAAAAAAAAAAAATGGCAAAATTTGTCATAAAGGGCAATATAGCGGTTTTCAAGATAAAAGGCAAAACATTTTATCCCTATTTTATTGTTTTGCCATGTTGGCCATGTTTATTAGAAAGCGGGGTAGTCGGACACATTTTTAAAACTAGAAACCACGATGATGAATGCTGTTAAGTTTGGTTAAATTTGGCATATCAGTTTTCCTGAACTATATTATCTCCCTCTCGTAGCCAAAATTATTATGAATAGATCAAAAAAGAAAATGTTTGTATTGGTAAACATATTATCCTTTCATTTGAAATAATATAAATACAATCGCTCAACTAAACATTCATGCAAATAAAGTCACTCTTACATTCTTTTTCTTTGATACAGCCTTAAAAAGAATGCTTAATATTACAATATAATCGAAAAGAATAAATGAATAATAAACATTGATACAACTGTTACACTATATATTTTTATTTCACTTAACATTTCTTCAAAGTGTTAGAAGATGGTTCACTCAAGGCGACAGTAGTTTCAAATATTAAGCTGAATGACAAAAGATATTGGGTATACATCATTGAGACATCAGCCTCACACAAGAAAACAAAAGTAATGTAGAAAATACCATCTCAGTGTTAACATACAAACTACAATGTGTTGAAATTTTAGATTCATATTTGTATGTTTATAATTGTCCAGTAGTTATTTCATGAATGTATAAGTTTAATTTCTTAAGGACTAATACTCTCACTGTAATAACGCTGTCGTTTAAAGATAAATTGTCAAGTTTGAAAATTTTATTTTGCATTTCACATGGCACAAAAAGTATATAATCAAACACAAACATTTCAAATGTTGTAATGCAAATTAAGAAGCAATTGAGAACGATGGTATTCTCTACCTAGCAGTAACGTTTGATAACTTAGTATTTATCATTTTATCAATTTTTTTCTATCATTTATTGGAAAATGTACATAAAATTACATATTATCTTTCATGTCTTTTGAACTAATCATCTCATTACTTGATATTGAACACAAAGCGAATATGTAATAATTTGGTGATTTTCTCATATATAATCAACGTGGCATTAAACCACATTACATTGTTTATATGGAAATTTGATTTAAAGAAGATACAGGTATAAGTCTTAATGGTTGTTAATTAATTAATCATAGACTTCCAAAAATCTCTTTTAAAAAAAAACATATACAGTAAGAACAAGATTACAATGTATGGATTTGTCAAAACACAAAAATATGAGAATATCAGTCAATGGAATTCATCATTGTGACATTAATGTTGATTTGCACGTTTTCTTAATAGCAATGATTCTATTTCCAAATGTCCCTTTTGATGTGCAACATTAAGAGGATTTTGACCTTTACAGTCACACTTATTGACATCAGCTGAATGTTTTAACAGTTCTTTAACAACATTAACGTGTCGATTCTGACTTGCTATATACAAAGGTATTTTACCATTATGGTCACACCTATGGACATCAGCTGAATGTTTTAACAGTTCTTTTAAAACATTAACATGTCCTTCCTGACTTGCTTGATAAAGTGAAGAACATCCGTTTTCATGACAGAGGTCAATTTTAACATTATCCAACTGAAGGAGAACATGTACAACCTCAACCATGTTGTTGTACCAAGCCATCTGTAGAGGTGAGGTGCCATCATTAGTACATTTATTGATATCAGCTGAATGTTGTAACAGTTCTTAAGCAACATTAACATGTCCTTTCTGACTTGCCAAATAAAGTGAAGAACATCCATCATCATCACAGAGATTAATATCAACATCATCACACTGAAGGAGAACATGTACAACCTCTATCCTGTTGTTGTTACTAGCAATCTGTAGAGGTGAGGTGCCATCATTAGTACATTTATTGATATCAGCTGAATGTTGTAACAGTTCTTAAACAACATTAACATGTCCTTTCTGACTTGCTATATGCAGAGGTGATGCATCATTATTGTTACATTTATTGACATCAGCTGAATGTTGTATCAGTTCTTTAACAACATCAATATGTCCTTTCTGACTTGCTTGATAAAGTGAAGAACATCCGTTTTCATCTAAATGATCAATATCAACATTATCACACTGAAGGAGAACATGTACAACCTCAACCATGTTGTTGTAACAAGCCATCTGTAGAGGTGAGGTGCCATCATAAGTACATTTATTGACATCAGCTGAATGTTGTAACAGTTCTTTTTTACAACATCAACATGTCCTTCCTGACTTGCCAAATAAAGTGAAGAACATCCTTCATCATCACAGAGATTAATATCAACATCATCACACTGAAGAAGAACATGTACAACCTCTATCCTGTTGTTGTTACTAGCAATCTGTAGAGGTGAGGTGCCATCATTAGTACATTTATTGACATCAGCTGAATGTTGTAACAGTTCTTTAACAACATTAACATGTCCTTCCTGACTTGCTATATGCAGAGGTGATGCATCATTTTTGTTACATTTATTGACATCAGCTGAATGTTGTATCAGTTCTTTAACAACATCAATATGTCCTTTCTGACTTGCTTGATAAAGTGAAGAACATCCGTTTTCATCTAAATGATCAATATCAACATTATCACACTGAAGAAGGACATGTACAACCTCAACCATGTTGTTGTTACTAGCAATCTGTAGTGGTGAGATGCCATCATTAGTACATTTATTGGCATCAGCTGAATGTTGTATCAGTACTGACTTGCTATATACAAAGGTGATTTACCATCATTGTCACACCTATGGACATCAGCTGAATGTTTTAACAGTTCTTTTAAAACATTAACATGTCCTTCCTGACTTGCTTGATAAAGTGAAGAACATCCGTTTTCATGACAGAGGTCAATTTTAACATTATCCAACTGAAGGAGAACATTTACAACCTCAACCATGTTGTTGTACCAAGCCATCTGTAGAGGTGAGGTGCCATCATTAGTACATTTATTGACATCAGCTGAATGTTGTAACAGTTCTTTTTTACAACATCAACATGTCCTTCCTGACTTGCCAAATAAAGTGAAGAACATCCTTCATCATCACAGAGATTAATATCAACATCATCACACTGGAGAAGAACATGTACAACCTCTATCCTGTTGTTGTTACTAGCAATCTGTAGAGGTGAGGTGCCATCATTAGTACATTTATTGACATCAGCTGAATGTTGTAACAGTTCTTTAACAACATTAACATGTCCTTCCTGACTTGCTATATGCAGAGGTGATGCATCATTATTGTTACATTTATTGACATCAGCTGAATGTTGTATCAGTTCTTTAACAACATCAATATGTCCTTTCTGACTTGCTTGATAAAGTGAAGAACATCCGTTTTCATCTAAATGATCAATATCAGCATTATCCAACTGAAGGAGAACATGTACAACCTCAACCATGTTGTTGTAACAAGCCATCTGTAGAGGTGAGGTGCCATCATAAGTACATTTATTGACATCAGCTGAATGTTGTAACAGTTCTTTTTTACAACATCAACATGTCCTTCCTGACTTGCCAAATAAAGTGAAGAACATCCTTCATCATCACAGAGATTAATATCAACATCATCACACTGAAGAAGAACATGTACAACCTCTATCCTGTTGTTGTTACTAGCAATCTGTAGAGGTGAGGTGCCATCATTAGTACATTTATTGACATCAGCTGAATGTTGTAACAGTTCTTTTTTACAACATCAACATGTCCTTCCTGACTTGCCAAATAAAGTGAAGAACATCCTTCATCATCACAGAGATTAATATCAACATCATCACACTGAAGAAGAACATGTACAACCTATATCCTGTTGTTGTTACTAGCAATCTGTAGAGGTGAGGTGCCATCATTAGTACATTTATTGACATCAGCTGAATGTTGTAACAGTTCTTTAACAACATTAACATGTCCTTCCTGACTTGCTATATGCAGAGGTGATGCATCATTTTTGTTACATTTATTGACATCAGCTGAATGTTGTATCAGTTCTTTAACAACATCAATATGTCCTTTCTGACTTGCTTGATAAAGTGAAGAACATCCGTTTTCATCTAAATGATCAATATCAACATTATCACACTGAAGAAGGACATGTACAACCTCAACCATGTTGTTGTTACTAGCAATCTGTAGTGGTGAGATGCCATCATTAGTACATTTATTGGCATCAGCTGAATGTTGTATCAGTACTGACTTGCTATATACAAAGGTGATTTACCATCATTGTCACACCTATGGACATCAGCTGAATGTTTTAACAGTTCTTTTAAAACATTAACATGTCCTTCCTGACTTGCTTGATAAAGTGAAGAACATCCGTTTTCATGACAGAGGTCAATTTTAACATTATCCAACTGAAGGAGAACATTTACAACCTCAACCATGTTGTTGTACCAAGCCATCTGTAGAGGTGAGGTGCCATCATTAGTACATTTATTGACATCAGCTGAATGTTGTAACAGTTCTTTTTTACAACATCAACATGTCCTTCCTGACTTGCCAAATAAAGTGAAGAACATCCTTCATCATCACAGAGATTAATATCAACATCATCACACTGGAGAAGAACATGTACAACCTCTATCCTGTTGTTGTTACTAGCAATCTGTAGAGGTGAGGTGCCATCATTAGTACATTTATTGACATCAGCTGAATGTTGTAACAGTTCTTTAACAACATTAACATGTCCTTCCTGACTTGCTATATGCAGAGGTGATGCATCATTATTGTTACATTTATTGACATCAGCTGAATGTTGTATCAGTTCTTTAACAACATCAATATGTCCTTTCTGACTTGCTTGATAAAGTGAAGAACATCCGTTTTCATCTAAATGATCAATATCAGCATTATCCAACTGAAGGAGAACATGTACAACCTCAACCATGTTGTTGTAACAAGCCATCTGTAGAGGTGAGGTGCCATCATAAGTACATTTATTGACATCAGCTGAATGTTGTAACAGTTCTTTTTTACAACATCAACATGTCCTTCCTGACTTGCCAAATAAAGTGAAGAACATCCTTCATCATCACAGAGATTAATATCAACATCATCACACTGAAGAAGAACATGTACAACCTCTATCCTGTTGTTGTTACTAGCAATCTGTAGAGGTGAGGTGCCATCATTAGTACATTTATTGACATCAGCTGAATGTTGTAACAGTTCTTTAACAACATTAACATGTCCTTCCTGACTTGCTATATGCAGAGGTGATGCATCATTTTTGTTACATTTATTGACATCAGCTGAATGTTGTATCAGTTCTTTAACAACATCAATATGTCCTTTCTGACTTGCTTGATAAAGTGAAGAACATCCGTTTTCATCTAAATGATCAATATCAACATTATCACACTGAAGAAGGACATGTACAACCTCAACCATGTTGTTGTTACTAGCAATCTGTAGTGGTGAGATGCCATCATTAGTACATTTATTGGCATCAGCTGAATGTTGTATCAGTACTGACTTGCTATATACAAAGGTGATTTACCATCATTGTCACACCTATGGACATCAGCTGAATGTTTTAACAGTTCTTTTAAAACATTAACATGTCCTTCCTGACTTGCTTGATAAAGTGAAGAACATCCGTTTTCATGACAGAGGTCAATTTTAACATTATCCAACTGAAGGAGAACATTTACAACCTCAACCATGTTGTTGTACCAAGCCATCTGTAGAGGTGAGGTGCCATCATTAGTACATTTATTGACATCAGCTGAATGTTGTAACAGTTCTTTAACAACATTAACATGTCCTTCCTGACTTGCTATATGCAGAGGTGATGCATCATTATTGTTACATTTATTGACATCAGCTGAATGTTGTATCAGTTCTTTAACAACATCAATATGTCCTTTCTGACTTGCTTGATAAAGTGAAGAACATCCGTTTTCATCTAAATGATCAATATCAACATTATCACACTGAAGGAGAACATGTACAACCTCAACCATGTTGTTGTAACAAGCCATCTGTAGAGGTGAGGTGCCATCATTAGTACATTTATTGACATCAGCTGAATGTTGTAACAGTTCTTTCACAACATCAACATGTCCTTCCTGACTTGCCAAATAAAGTGAAGAACATCCTTCATCATCACAGAGATTAATATCAACATCATCACACTGAAGAAGAACATGTACAACCTCTATCCTGTTGTTGTTACTAGCAATCTGTAGAGGTGAGGTGCCATCATTAGTACATTGATTGACATCAGCTGAATGTTGTAACAGTTCTTTAACAACATTAACATGTCCTTCCTGACTTGCTATATGCAGAGGTGATGCATCATTTTTGTTACATTTATTGACATCAGCTGAATGTTGTATCAGTTCTTTAACAACATCAATATGTCCTTTCTGACTTGCTTGATAAAGTGAAGAACATCCGTTTTCATCTAAATGATCAATATCAACATTATCCAACTGAAGGAGAACATGTACAACCTCAACCATGTTGTTGTAACAAGCCATCTGTAGAGGTGAGGTGCCATCATTAGTACATTTATTGACATCAGCTGAATGTTGTAACAGTTCTTTCACAACATCAACATGTCCTTCCTGACTTGCCCAATAAAGTGAAGAACATCCATCATCATCACAGAGATTAATATCAACATCATCACACTGAAGAAGAACATGTACAACCTCTATCCTGTTGTTGTTACTAGCAATCTGTAGAGGTGAGGTGCCATCATTAGTACATTTATTGACATCAGCTGAAAGTTGTATCAGTTCTTTAACAACATCAATATGTCCTTTCTGACTTGCTTGATAAAGTGAAGAACATCCGTTTTCATCTAAATGATCAATATCAACATTATCACACTGAAGAAGAACATGTACAACCTCAACCATGTTGTTGTTACTAGCAATCTGTAGTGGTGAGATGCCATCATTAGTACATTTATTGGCATCAGCTGAATGTTGTATCAGTTCTTTAACAACATCAACATGTCCATTCTGACTTGCCCAATAAAGTGAAGAACATCCGTTTTCATCACAGAGATCAATTTTAACATTATCACACTGAAGAAGGACATGTACAACCTCAACCATGTTGTTGTTACTAGCAATCTGTAGTGGTGAGATGCCATCATTAGTACATTTATTGGCATCAGCTGAATGTTGTATCAGTTCTTTAACAACATCAACATGTCCATTCTGACTTGCTTTATACAAAGGTGATACACCATCATTGTCACACTTATTGACCTCAGATGAATACTGTAACAGTTCTTTAACAACATTAATATGTCCTTCCTGACTTGCCCATAATAAGGGAAACCAACCATCCTGTCTACAAAAATTAATGTCACTATTCCTACTTATCAACCATTTGACAATGTCAATAGTACCAATATAACAACTTCCTGAAAGTGCTATATCTTTACTGTGAATATCTTTAGTACAAACAAGTTCTTGTTGCTTTGATGGATCAAGTTGATTTAAATGTGTTACAAATGTTTCTGTAAATAAAGTAGAATTCATGTTTCTGTTGTGACATACATTGTATACATAACCGTTCTCCCAGTCTTTCAGTAACCTATCTATATATCTATTTACATATTTATCAGGTATTCTTATTACAAACTCTATTTCTGTGCCCATGTTATCTGTCATCTTCCAAAGAAACCTCTCTCTTATGAACTCAGTATCAGCATGATCAATGAAAATGTGTATCATCTTCTCCCCGAAGTACTTAGCCAGGAAATCAAACAACTTATCATGGATTATTTTGTATGTACTATCCTCCTTGACCACATAGGTACCTTCAAGTGTTTCAAGGGATTTCTTTAAACGTTTGATGGATGTTCCTTTATTCAATTCACATTCTCTTAGTGAATTTTCTATAACTGCGCCTATCTTCTTATCTTGTGTGGACAAATTTTCTTCTGTTAATGTGTTGTTAAACATCACACAAAGGACTAAGCTACAATACTGCATCTTACCAGCATCACTTTCTCCATACATTTGTTCAACTTGATCTTTAAAAACATCAAAAGGATTGCTAAAAAAAGAGCTAATGCTTACATTTTTCTGGAGGTTCTGTTTATGATACAAGCTACATAAAAGTGGGAAAAAATCATATTTTTCTGACAGTTCCTTTACTTCATCAGTATTGTCCTTAAAGTACACTTCAGCTAAAGCATTTTTTTCAGCGGCACTGAGTTTAAATTCTTGTGAACTTAAATCAATGATACACATTTCGAAAAAAGAGAGATTGCTAAAACATTCATCTTTGTAAACTTCCAATCTACATGTAGATATTATTTTACAACATTGGTCTGTAAGAAGAGATGTAATGTGATTAAGATTTTGTTTCCAGTCATTGTAAATTTGTTGATTAAGAGTATATCTGCCACACACATCATCATAGACAAATAATGTTTTCCTATCATGTTTAAACCATTTTCCAATATCTTCAGGTTTACTACATGGAATTACAGTATAGCCATGTTTCATCATTAAGAGGGCAATGTGTTTAGAAAGAAAACTTTTTCCAATGCCTGAGTTTCCTACAATGGTAACGGAACTTTGTGTCAAAACGTTTTGCATTACACATTTCTCTACTTTGGTACTAACAAACTGTTGATCATCCTTCTTCCACTGTTCCAAGCGTCTTTCGAACTGCTCTGCAAAAAAAAAAAAAAAATCAACAAAACAAATATGGAATTTAAGTTTAATTCTCAAGGTGCAATAACACCAATAACGCCACATACGGTTGCATGCGTTGTACTTGTTTTAAAGCAATATTCGTTTTTTTTAGTGTTCCTACAAAATACTTTAAACTTGAGAAAACCTGGTTACTAACGTTTGTAAATGAGAAAAAGGGAGAAAATCAGTAAAGATCCGTCTAAATTCCATTTAATTGATAAATTCAACAACACTAATCTAACCGTTATCATGGTGATTTGTTTTCGTTAAATAACCAAGAATTCCCTGAAAAGACTAGTACTGCCGAAATTTACCCAAAGTAACATTTTTTTTAAATACATCAAATATCAACAGCAATAACTAGTTATAAGAAGATGTGGTATGAGTGCCAATGAGACAACTCTCCATCCAAGTCAAAATTTATAAAAGTAAACCAATATAGGGCAAAGTACAGTCTTCAACACAGGACAGGTGCAATTCACTGTAAAATATCTGTCCATTCCTAGATAAAAATTAGTCAGTTTTAAACAGAAACTCGGCATGAAAATTAACGACAAAAGGGAAGAGTTTTACTTTCCCTATTGTTAATTTTTTTTTCTTTGGACGGCGATGTTCCTTTGGCACCGCCTTACGGTGTTTATATACATCAACTCGTTAGCTGTGTCCATGCTTTTAGTGGCATTTTGGATTTCAATAAGCGTAATCTATGTATTACTGGTATATTGTTTTATTTGTGGAGGAGGCAGGAATGCCCAGTGAGAACCTCTGAAATTCGACAGGAAAACGACAATCCTAGTAAATTAAGAGTCCAGCACACCTGCCTCGTGTAAGTTTCGAACTTACAACCTCAGTGTTGACAGGCTAGTACTCCGTGTTTAATGCCTCGCTATGAGATGAAGAACAGTAATAAAACTGCAATAAAGGCGCTGTTCCTTTGCTTTGTTGTGTGTATTTTACGGTGCATGTACTAATTTTGTTTTTCTATTCTAGTGATACAGTAGGTGAACTACTTAGACTAGTTGACCACCGAGGCACTTTTTTTAAATAAAAAAAAAACATTAAATGTTCACATATATTTATAGTAATTTTGAATCAGAATCTCATGTCGTTCTTAAGGCAGAGGCGAAAGATATCAAAGGGACATTCAAACTCAGCTAATAAAGAAAAAGACCAATACTTTTGGAATTTTGCGTTAAAAAGGGTGACAGATGGACAGACAAATTGAAAATTATAGATATATCCTCGATACGAGCCCTTATCGAGTTAATAATTCGTGTGCATGTTCTTTTGTTTGTACTAAAGATGCCTTGTTGTAGGATTAAGTGAATGTTCAAATGTTCTACATCAGTTCACATCACGCTACTCAAGTGATATTATAAGTTATCTACGTTCATATACGTAGATATGTATATTTTAAAACCCTGAAGTATCCAAGTACATCCTGAGGCGAAGCCGAAGGTGTACAGGGTACTGAAGGGTGATAAAATATCCATATCTACGGATATGAACGTAGATAACGAATTAATCCCCGGTCTTAGTCCAAATCTGGTGATTTTTTGAGAAATTCGACCACAAAGTGTACCGTGAAAGCAACGTTTTTTTTCATAATTAAAAAATGTTTCATTGAAATTTGGGAATATGACATATTTCTAACGGGGTGTAGGGTACTTACTTTGTAGAACCCTACAGGTAGTCAAATATAAGACGTTTTTAATACAGCGACATAGAAACTGGAATGGGTCGAATTTGGCGCTCGATATAGTGAGAGTTACATCATAGACGTTGTGACGACGTCAACTTTGGTCATTTGCATAGCTAGGTCAGTAGTCGCATTCATTGACAATGTGGCAGCCAAGTAATGCATTTACTAAAATGAGTGCAAATGATCGACATAATAAGATAAAATCGTTAGTGGATTAAATATATTATTACAGACATCATGAATAATCTACAGAATTCGATATTTCACAAGGAACAACCATCACTAGTAACCAGTATTTAGCTTGATCGGCCAAATAGGTATTAACCATCTTTAAAAAAATTTACTGGAATATTGAATCAGATTAACAAAAATAAAAAACGGGTTTCTATCTTATTCAATACATTTTAAACTATTTTAATACCAGTCAAATAGATTCCCTTGTGGTCATTCAAGTTATTTTAAGACCAGGGACCTGTTTATCGAAACTGTCCTAAGATCGGTCCTAAGAATTTCTTAGGACAGAAATTAGGATAAAGTTAGGACCGACTTACGACATGTCTAAGCATGCACGTCGAAGCTATCTTAGGATTATCTTAGCTAGGATATCCTAACCGCTGTCCTAAGTATTGGCGTAAAAGAATATAACAAATTAAAAATAAAAAAATGAAAATATTGTATAAAATTTATTTAACCAATAACTATAATTAAAAAAAAAGAGAAATAATTAGAAAATAATTATTAGTTTTAAATTAAAGGTGATAAATACTTTTTATATTATAATTGTACATTGAAACTCATAACACAAAACAGGATGAAATTTGAAAAAAAAGGCAGAACAGGAGTTTGGAGTAAAAAAAAGGCAGGATGAGAAACTTTGCCAAAAAAAAAAACAAGATGACAGTTTACATGTATGTAAAAAATTCAGGATAAACTAATAAAAAAAGGCAGGACCGAATAGAGTGAAAAATAAAAAGGAAGGACAGATATTACAACAACAAAAAAAGCAGAACAACATTTTTCATCCTAGCCCCCCCCCTTCCGTCATAAAAATCAAATGGTAGTTCCCTAAAGAGAATGCAACCAATACAGGCAATATTTGTTTATAAAATAACCATCCTTAATATATATCCTTAAGTTAGGACCATCCTAAGACCATCTTAAGACACCTAAATTGGTATCCTAAAGTTAGGACAATTCCTAGGATTTTCCTAAGTTACGACATGTTTGATAAACCCACTTAGGACTAAGATATGTCCTAAGTTGGTCTTAGGACACGTCCTAATCCTAAGGCTGCTTCGATAAACAGGCTCCCGGTTAACCTCCGTCAAACTAATAAGCCACGCCTCCGTTAAACTAATTCAAACGGATGTTAAGTCCTTTCTAACTTTAATGTGTCCGCCTTCTTGTAAGGTAAATCACTCAAGCAGAAAAGCAACCCCGATAGATATATATTTATCTTCAATCCATTCCATACGTTATAGATTTTCGTAATAAATATTTACAATTAAAATGACTTAATGACAAATAGATAAGAAAATAAGTAACTTAAAATTATTGATCCAAGATATTTTTTAAATGCAGCAAGAAAAGTGAACCAGTTAGAAATAGAAATTTCCAGTAAATAATATGATTTTAATATGTCCTCATGTAGTAACTCTTTATCTGAAAGAGTGTTGATGATTGATAAGAAAACTCGTGTTTTCTCAGTATTTGTTGTCTCTAAACAATAATTTCTAAAAAAAAATCAAACGAGAAACTAAATCAAGGTTTGTGAAAGACAATTAAAAAAAAATCAAATAGAAATACATTAAATACAATAATGTATCTGTTACTCTATATGGTGATTATTTATATTTCTGTTAATTTGTCGTATTCCCGTATATTAACTTTTCCTCTTCGTCTGTATTCCTATTGTGTATTCCATTTTGATAATTAATAGAGGAACAAATGTAAAAGGAACAGACAATAGCCATTGTTTACATAAATTAAATCGATATAATATTGTATCCTTAAGGTTAATAAAAACTTTTTACAATTACCGACAATTAATACAATATATATTAAAAGTTTTATTAAATGAAACCTTTGATTGTGAAAATGTTAAAATTGTTGACTCTTTTCCGTAAACAGTATAGTCTTGTTGAAAGTAATAAATGAATTAACAAATCAATCTACTTTTAACTCTGTTTTAAAGTTGTAATATTTGTCACTGGTGCAAAAAAAAAAACCATTCACAGCGGAAAAGGCTGAAAATACCAAAATGAAACATAAAAAATAATAAGGCGCGGTTATACGATTGTGTTTGGTAAACATTATACACATGAGGGGGTGGTGGTTCTACACGCTCTTCTGAGTGTGATTAATGGAATATTTTTTTCTTTTTTAAATTGATAAATCGTTTGTAATACACAGGCCTACAGAAAGGGTAATAAACATTACGATCCAAGATAATAAGTCATTGCAAAGCAAAAAAGAAATTATACATTGAATATACAAAGTACATACACAATTAAAAGAGTATGATGAACTTAAACGTGTTAAACTTAAATTTAATCTAGGTTTGTAGAATGTAGAATGATAGTTGTATATGCTTGCCATTTGAAATATTTCCGTACATTCTTTAATATGTTTTTTTTTATCTTTTCGTACTTAATGATGTTCCTTTCTTTCCAAATTAAAAATTTCCATGTTAATAAAACCGTATTGAAAATTACATCCTATATGTATGATTCATTTGCAATACACAGAATAATAGATTCCTCCAATTTGTTTTTAAGTTTTGCTATGATTGTTTTTTTTTATATATATCAAATGAAATTATCTTGTTAAAACAACTACTATACATCATTTGTTTTATCCAATACGCGAGAATATGCACTTGTGTTTCTTAAACATTATTACAAAAGTAACAAATCCCATTGAATTGCTGGAATTATTTTTTATCTCTTCTTCAGTATATACAATATTATGAAATTTTCCATTGTAATTGGCTAGCTTATCTAGTTGTAACATTATTTTGTAAATCTTTACTTATATCACAACAAATTATTTTTGGGTCTTTTATAGCTTTTTATAGCTTACTTTTTGTTTTTGAAACGAAAATTTACGAATAAACTGTAAAATTCGCCACACTGCATGTAAAAGATGTCAAGACAGTACGTTTCATAGTTGATACGAAAAACATGAACCTGGAAAGCTGAACAATTGAATAATTAACGTTTTTAAGTGCAGGCTGCATGGACTATGTAAATAAATTCATTAATAAAGATAATTAAAGAACACAGGAAGGTCAATACATGAATAAAATTCAATTTTTTTATATGGCAGTTTGTTTGTTTGAGAATCATCAAATGTGTTGATACAATACGACGTTTCATCGTGTGATGACTTTTTAGATTGCTAATACTAATAAACTCGTACCATTACCTGTGTATTAGAACAGGTCATCCAATAACGTATTCACAATTGTCGGTTTGCGGAATTGATGCGGTTAAATCTTATCGGTTGCACGTGGAGATGTCTTGATGAATAAATTAAAATGCTATGATTTAGCTTTACTGTTTTAGATAGTCATGCGAAATAATTAGTTTATATTTGGTAATATGAATACTAGTATTTAGGTGTAATACCACCAAATCATAGTACGTCACATCCGGTTGCATACGAAAATAGGTCGAAAAAAAATATTCCCTTGAATTTGACAGTTGTAGGTAATTGATCCTACATTTCATTGCAGTAAAACATTTCTGAGTCATAAACATATATCTTGGGTATTTCAAAGCACCATTATTTCTTTATTTGGGGTTTCTATAGAATATTTTGGAAACTTGAGGTTACATGGTTACTAAAGCTTGTACACAGGTTAAAAAAGGGGGAAAATTTGATTGGTTAACTTCCAGTGATGGTTATTTTCTTATATGCAATGAAATGTTACGTGAAATTTTTTCTATAGTACTGGACAGGATAAAACTTAACTCATGCCAAGTATTTCTTTATTTGAAACAAAGATAAATTCTGCACAATTTTTTGACAAGTGCAAATTTAACAAAGACTAATAGGGGAAAATCAATGGTGGTATTACACCTAATATGGGAAGCTGTACATGCACCTTTGACCTTGTGAGTACTCTCATGTGTTAAAATTTCATGCTATTTAAGTGAAATATTACAAATAATGAAATATTCTGAGTGGATTGAGTCTCCAAAATACATTTTATAAGAAAATCTCCTTGAAATAGGACTTTACCATGAATATTAGTTGACAGAACAAGCCATACTTAGAGTCTTGGGGAGCTTTTTCTCCTTATTTCTTATATTCTGCTATACTAGAAATTTTTTCCTAAGAAATACTTTAATAAATATATAGTTTTAAGTAAATAAATTTTTTTTTACAGCAGTAACAACAAATTATTCACCAAAAGAGAAGTTTTTTTTGTCCCTCTCTGGAACGCGGCGTAAATATAAGTTTTACGTAAGGACTTATTGAAACCTCCTTGGAGACAGTAAACTTGTATACGGATAGTTCATTAAGCTTGAATACATCAATTAATCATTTATAATAACATTTCTATCATAAATGAGTGAAAGTTACCCCAAAATGTTTATTTATTGGCCTAAAAAGTAGAAATTTTGAGGAAATGAGAGGTATAAATGGACCAAAAGAGACCTCATAAGGAAGACAAAGAGGTCCATTAGTAGTATTTATCATATAAAGTCATATTTTGTATCATATTCAACTGTTTGTAGGCAGATGAGATAAATATTGTATCATTTATTGGTGCACACTATATTCTATCATGATGCGGCTTGGTTTGAATTTTTCGAAGAAATTTTGCTCAAATCGCTGTAGATGTCGTCTTACATTATACTAGATTTTTCTCAAACTATTGAACTGATTATGACAAAACTTGACAGGAATGCTTGAAATAACCAGTATAACAAAGGAAAAAAGTCACATTCAGTTTATTTAACAAAAAAGTCTTCTTTATGGGAAGCTGTACATGCACCTTTGACCTTGTGAGTACTCTCATGTGTTAAAATTTCTTGCTATTTAAGTGAACTATTACAAATAATGAAATATTCTGAGTGGATTGAGTCTCCAAAATACATTTTATGAGAAAATTTCCTTGAAATAGGACTTTACCATAAATATTAGTTGACAGAACAAGCCATACTTAGAGTCTTGGGGAGCCTTTTCTCCTTATTTCTTATATTCTGCTATACTAGAAATTTTTTCCTAAGAAATACTTTAATAAATATATAGTTTTAAGTAAATGAAATTATTTTTAAAGCAGTAACAACAAATTATTCACCAAAAGAGAAGTTTTTATGTCCCTCTCTTTAACGCGGCGTAAATTTAAGTTTTACGTAAGGACTTATTGAAACCTCCTTGGAGACAGTAAACTTTTATACGGATAGTTCATTGAGCTTGAATACTTCAATTAATCATTTATAATAACATTTCTATCATAAATGAGTGAAAGTTACCCCAAAATTTTTATTTATTGGCCTAAAAAGTAGAAATTTTGAGGAAATGAGAGGTATAAATGGACCAAAAGAGACCTTATAAGGAAGACAAAGAGGTCCATTAGTAGTATTTATCATCCTAAAGTCATTTTTTGTATCATATTCAACTGTTTGTAGGCAGATGAGATAAATATTTGATCTTTTATTGGTACACACTATATTCTATCATGATGCGGCTTGGTTTGAATTTTTCGAAGAAATTTTGCTCAAATCGCTGTAGATGTCGTCTTACATTATACTAGATTTTTCTCAAACTATTGAACTGATTATGACAAAACTTGACAGGAATGATTGAAATAACCAGTATTACAAAGGAAAAAAGTCACATTCAGTTTATTGAACAAAAAAGTCTTCTTTATGGGAAGCTGTACATGCACCTTTGACCTTGTGAGTACTCTCATGCGTTCCAGAGAGGGACATAAAAAACTTCTCTTTTGGTGAATAATTTGTTGTTACTGCTTTAAAAATAATTTCATTTACTTAAAACTATATATTTATTAAAGTATTTCTTAGGAAAATTTTTTTAGTATAGCAGAATATAAGAAATAAGGAGACTCTAAGTATGGCTTGTTCTGTCAACTAATATTCATGGTAAAGTCCTATTTCAAGGAAATTTTCTCATAAAATGTATTTTGGAGACTCAACCCACTCAGAATATTTCATTATTTGTAATATTTCACTTAAATAGCAAGAAATGATTAATTCAAGTATTCAAGCTGAATGAACTATCCGTATAAAAGTTTACTGTCTCCAAGGAGGTTTCAATAAGTCCTTATGTAAAACTTAAATTTACGCCGCGTTCCAGAGAGGGACATAAAAAACTTCTCTTTTGGTGAATAATTTGTTGTTACTGCTTTAAAAATAATTTCATTTACTTAAAACTATATATTTATTAAAGTATTTCTTAGGAAAATTTTTTTAGTATAGCAGAATATAAGAAATAAGGAGACTCTAAGTATGGCTTGTTCTGTCAACTAATATTCATAGTAAAGTCCTATTTCAAGGAAATTTTCTCATAAAATGTATTTTGGAGACTCAATCCACTCAGAATATTTCATTATTTGTAATATTTCACTTAAATAGCAAGAAATTTTAACACATGAGAGTACTCACAAGGTCAAAGGTGCATGTACAGCTTCCCATATTAAAGAAGACTTTTTTGTTAAATAAACTGAATGTGACTTTTTTCCTTTGTAATACTGGTTATTTCAAGCATTCCTGTCAAGTTTTGTCATAATCAGTTCAACAGTTTGAGAAAAATTTAGTATGATGTAAGACGACATCTACAGCGATTTGAGCAAAATGTTCTTCGAAAAATTCAAACCAAGCCGCATCATGATAGAATAAAGTGTGGACCAATAAATGATCAAATATTTATCTCATCTGCCTACAAACAGTTGAATATGATACAAAAGATGACTTTAGGATGATAAATACTACTAATGGACCTCTTTGTCTTCCTTATAAGGTCTCTTTTGGTCCATTTATACCTCTTATTTCCTCAAAATTTCTACTTTTTAGGCCAAAAAATAAAAATTTTGGGGTAACTTTCACTCATTTATGATAGAAATGTTATTATAAATGATTAATTGAAGTATTCAAGCTGAATGAACTATCCATATCAAAGTTAACTGTCTCCAAGGAGGTTTCAATAAGTTCTTACGTAAAACTTAAATTTACGCCGAGTTCCAGAGAGGGACATAAAAAATTTCTCTTTTGGTGAATAATTTGTTGTTACTGCTTTAAAAATAATTTCATTTACTTAAAACTATATATTTATTAAAGTATATCTTAGGAAAAAGTTTCTAGTATAGCAGAATATAAGAAATAAGGAGAAAAGGCCCCCAAAGACTCTAAGTATGGCTTGTTCTGTCAACTAATATTCATGGTAAAGTCCTATTTCAAGGAAATTTTCTCATAAAATGTATTTTGGAGACTCAATCCACTCAGAATATTTCATTATTTGTAATATTTCACTTAAATAGCAAGAAATTTTAACACATGAGAGTACTCACAAGGTCAAAGGTGCATGTACAGCTTCCCATAAAGAAGACTTTTTTGTTAAATAAACTGAATGTGACTTTTTTCCTTTGTAATACTGGTTATTTCAAGCATTCCTGTCAAGTTTTGTCATAATCAGTTCAATAGTTTGAGAAAAATCTAGTATAATGTAAGACGACATCTACAGCGATTTGAGCAAAATTTCTTCGAAAAATTCAAACCAAGCCGCATCATGATAGAATATAGTGTGCACCAATAAATGATCAAATATTTATCTCATCTGCCTACAAACAGTTGAATATGATACAAAAGATGACTTTAGGATGATACATACTACTAATGGACCTCTTTGTCTTCCTTATAAGGTCTCTTTTGGTCCATTTATACCTCTCATTTCCTCAAAATTTCTACTTTTTAGGCCAATAAATACATATTTTGGGGTAACTTTCACTCATTTAATCCTAGTCAATAAAGATGGAGTCGAGCCCTCCTGACATTTGCTGGATTTGAACTCACAACGTCAGTGTTGACAGGCTATTGATACAGTGGTTCAACTATTTAGACCCCTCGGCAACCGAGGCCTAACTGACACGACAAGGTATTGCTTCTTTTCAAAAGATATACTGCTCAGACAAAATTTACGATATCGAAGATTTATCTATTTATCATGTTATTTGGATTTAATCTGAAATAAATTCGTGGTTAATTGAACATCTTTCAAGTCCAATACATAACACATTATGATTATTGTAGCAAACACCGGAAAGCTGATTATATTTTTACTTATCTACTTTCTAACTATAATTTGTTTTACTTAAAATTCTCCCAAACTAACTCCGAAAGTATTAATATATAATAGTACCTAGTAGAAATTGCGATTAGACAAGGGAATTACATACCTATTTCGTGTAATGGCACTTCAACTGAAATAAAATTTTAGTTTAAAACGGTTGTTTCGTAGATAATGATAATATAAGTTACAGAAATAAATCAGACATTCAGCTCAAGAAATAACGAACCTTCAGAAATACGAATATTTTTTTACTAATCATTAGTTTTGACTTTACTCTTATTACTGGGATAAATAGAATCAAGAAAGTTTATTCAAATTATATTGCACGTAGGATCATAATGTGTATATTCTGCTTAAGAACTCTCAGTATTAGCTATTCCATTCCATTTGTCGTTGATATTAATAAAGTTCTGACATTTTTTTTACTCAAACAACAATAACATCCAGTGAGCACATTAAAGCAAGAGCAACACGGCTTGTGCCACATGTAGAGCGGGATCTGCTTACCCTGCTGGAGTACCTGAGATCACCCCCCAGTTTTTGGTGGGGTTCGTGTTGTTTGGTCTTTAGTTTTTTATGTTGTGTTTTGTGTACTGCTGCTTGTTTGTTTGTATTTTTCCTTTTTAGCCATGGCGTTGTCAGTTTGTTTTCGATCTATGAGTTTGAATGTCCCTCTGGTATCTTTTAAAGCCAGCTTGATATATTGGAGCTGGCTACAGCAGTAAAGAAATATCAATAATAACTTTTTTTTCGATAAATTGAATTAAATTATCATGAGAATGTATTTCTATGGCAGAATATCGACTCATCCAATTTCGACTCATCAGGAGTAAAAATACATGTATCTATATGGCACAAAGTTCGGGACAAGATGAAAATTTCGACTCATCCGAAATTTCGACTCAACCGAGTTCGAGACAACGAGAGTTAATATAACTGTACAATGAATAAGTAATACAAAACCTTTTAATTTGTGTTGTTTTGTCCTCATGAATGTGCTATATAATATCATTTTGTAATCTGCGCTGATTATCAAACGCAACATACCTTCACTTCTGTGTCTTTTTTTCCTTTTTTTCGTCAAAAATATTACAAAAAACACTACTGCAACTGCTAATGGAACGACAATCCCAATTATAATACCAGCACTGAAATGTATCGAAATTAAATTTATAGCAACTATAGAAGCATGGGTATATTCCCATCTTTGATATCAAACACAGGATGTAGATTATTTCACACTTTGAAACGTAACATAAGACCGTTGACACAAGAAGGAAATCATGACAATTGATACAGTATGTTCCTTTTGGAACTCTAACCAAAGATAAAGAACTCCATTCTTTTTTACATTACACAATGTTGACTGCTGTACCCCTATTTTTGACATTTTTACCAATTATGTCTGTTTGTTTTGTTCACACATCGTTGTTAATATAATGGATTTTGATGCAACTGTCGTACAAGTGAGAAGTTTAGCTAGCTATAAAACCAGGTTTAATCCACCATTTTCTACATCATAAAATGCCTGTACCAAGTCAGAAATATGACAGTTGTTATCCATTCGTTTGATGTGTTTGAGCTTTTGATTTTGCCATTTGATTAGGGACTTTCCGTTGTGAATTTTTCTCGGAGTTATTTTTTTGTGATTTTACTTTTTAATGTTTTGGAAATGCAAATTACATGTATTGTACAAAATCATGTTATTTTAATGGAACTATCAAGTGCCTCGTAAGAAACAGTCTCTCTGATGTTTGTCTATTGTTTTAAGAACTGAATGTCTATTAGTATTAACATATATTTACACTTAAACATGTTTAACTATTTACCGCCCAATAATTACTCTTGAGGGATCGAACGTGCTCGCATTTTCGTTAATCATGTGTTCTGAAGCCTACGCATCATATCACCACGGGCGCTGTGATACCAGACATAAATTCAATGTCATGAAAATTCTTTGGACGAGTATTGTGAAAATAAATGTATAAAGTTTGAGATTGCATGTTGCATGTGTTATTTACCTAAGCGCGTCACTGGTTTTTATATCCTACGGTGTTTGTCGTTGATGGAATATGTTCGTTGTTGTTCTCCAGTTTGCATGTTGTGTCGACTATTATATCATTTGTTTGTGCGTTTCTCTATGATGAATGTTCATGTGTGTGTTTGAGTTGTATTTTTGTCACGTAGTGTTGCAATTTCAGAGATATTTTTAACATTGTCATAAAGCGGGGGGTTTGGAAGCCATTAAACAAGATTCAACCTACCATTTTTTCTTAAATTGTCCTGTACCAAGTCATGAATATGGCAATTGTTATCAAATAGTTTGTTTCTATGTATTTGATGTATGCTGGGCGTTTCTTTTTGTTGTACTTCAGTGTTCCTGCTGTTCCTTTTTTCCTCTTATAGTTGTTGTGTTTCCGTCGGCTTTAGTTTGAAAACCGGATTTGTGTTCTCTGAATCGATTGATGACCTGTGAAGACCGGCATACTACTGTTGCCTTTATTAGTATTTGAATGCTGTTAAATCTTCGTTTTTGTTAACGCAATAAGTTATTTATATTTGCACTGTATGTTGTTTAAAAATTTACACATCTTAATCATTAAGGATAAAGGTATCATGTGTATTAGTTATTATGTATCCAGGGAGAATATCTTATTCAATCTATATATGTGATAATATTCCATATCTTTATTTTATTTATCCCAATGCTTATCTAAACCATAACAGACCTTCACAGTTACAGTTACTTGTGTGTGTTTACTTTTCATAAATAGTTCATAAACAACCAGTACAATCACATAAACAGATTCCCTAAAAAATTACGAACTGTCTTGGGATTTAACAACAGACAGTTAATCCCCTAGGTCTAAATGACAATATCATGGGCCAAGGAAACAAATGTTATATCATGACTATTGATGATAAAAGACGACGTAATCATAGGTCTCAAGGCATGGGAATCGCATTAACCGCAATCAAAGAAAAAAAAAAATATCGTTCTAATTTTGCACTTGAAGATTTTTTTATCTATATCTAAAACCAATGGTAGACATCAATTGTTATGCAAATTGGGTAAAATGCCAAATAGTAATTACATAATATCTGTAACGAGTGTGATACAATATCGTTTTTCAGTTCAAAATATGAGTCTACACGGATTATTACAGTTCTTTGTCACCATAGGCTGTTCCTTCAAATTGACAAACCTGAAGATCATACAAAGTATTTTTTCAAAAATAGATTACATTATAAGAGGAAATGGTTTTATCAATTTGTCTAGTATTTTTCATGATTATACCGTTCAAAACTTTATACCTCTATATCATGTATATTTTGATAACATTGAGCTATCTATAATTTCTTATTCGTATTGAAAAAAACAGTTAGTAGTTTAATTATACGTCAGTTACATCAGACGTCAGTATAGAAATTAATGATTCTTCAATATGAGAATGTGAAACATCGAAGTTTAGATATGGTCCCTATAGCCATGTTATTCCAGTGGACCTCAACATCGTTCAGGACAGAGAGGTTATAAACTTTCTGAAAAAGGACCAAAATATCGCACACCGTCAATAATAAATTTGGAAGTGTGTCGTCAGATTATTTAACATATTCTTTCATCAAAGCATTTGTGTTCGAACCGGTCTACAAAACAGCAAATATTGTGGCGGTGGTATGACGTAAAACTACACGGAAGTCCTTACGAAGGAAATTATACATTCAACTTCATTTAAGGCTGTACGCTCCACAGAGAGTCATAGGTAAATAATCATGTCACTTCTACAGATCAGCTTTTAAAAGGCCTCCTCGAAACGTTTGAAGGTCCCCACTATGCACTAGTTACCTATACTTAACAAAAACCCCTTAAAGTATTGTTTCATCTCGGCCTTTAGTAAGTGCTCTACTATTAATCTTTCTGTGCTTTTATCGAGTTACTTAACTACTATCGTTAATTTTTGTAATAAAACATATGAAAACAATGGATGAATCATTTTTGGAGCGTAAAAATTTTTTTGATGCTTTAGATATATTACGTGCTTTTGGTGGTCCTTTTGCCTCGGTTGACAGTTTTTACTTTTCGTTATTCTAATCTTCCAACAATCTACTGAGAAAAGTAAATGCTAGATATACTTATTGAAGGTGCGATGGGATGATTAAACCACCACATTTTCTCCTTGACAACATTTAACTACGTTTTGGCAGTAAAGTTTATCGACAGATATCAATATACTTAAAGGCACCAATTGTGTCCCATTAAAAGCAAATATTTTTATTTACTTTTATGAATCATAGTTTACGACCGAACTCGTTAAAAATCACGAACTCTCTAACTATACTGCTAAAATCTACCCAAACGAACACCAGGGTTTTCGATATCACAAACTAGTCAAAACATCTACTTAATTTTATCATCGGTACAAGGACATCATTCGTAAACATAAATCAACATGCAGACATGTTATACCTTCAAGTATTTCACATCCAATCTTTTATTGTAAAATTCTTTACAAAGCACAAAAATGTCGGCATTCACCTCATAAGCTAACCAAGTTTTTATTACTATAATGTTGTCAGCTCATAAAAGATGGCATATTTTGGCTTTAATATTAGTTCACTTATAGGGTCTTTGCATCGGAAATAAACACATTTATTTTGTTTTTTTGGTTTCCTGGCAGTGCTAGTTATGATGTGTAAATTATATAAATATTATTCAAGTCTTTCGTTTTACGTTTTATAAAGGTTCTTAATTTTCTTTTCACGGCGTCACGGCGAAATAAAGTTAATTAGATCCCGTGCACATGCAGGGGTGGATCCAACCATTTTTAAAAGGGAGGTCTAACCCAGGATAAAAGGGATATTGAAAACCGTGCTTTTGTTCACATCTGGTTTTTTTTTAATGTCTATGGGTTGTTTTCTCATTGACACAATCATAAACATTCCAAATTCCACGAGTAGGGGTAGGGGGAGGAGGATGAAGGACATGGAAAATGAATAATATGTCCAAGTTAAGAATTCAATAAAATACACAATATTGCCGAAGATAAGACTTGGTGGTTATAGTAATATTAGCTCAACAAACTGTACGACAAGGGTTTTGCTAATTGTTAAAGAAATATGTGACATGGATTTGTCACATATTTGTTTTTATCATATGGATATATGGCACATTTACAATCATACTACCTCTCCTTATTTGTATGTTACGGGACGACCATTTGAAATTCAAAAAGGGGCATTATAAACGATTTTGTTTTGCCTGGTAAGAACTGAAGAAAAAAAAACTTTAAAACCAAGATAGGATGAAAACTTATATACTGCCAAACTGACTACGATAAGGACTTTGCTAATTGTTGAAACCCGTGCGACATCTAGTTTTTTGGTCTATTGATTGTTGTCTCTAAACAATCATACAGCATCCCTTTCATCGGATGAAATGAATGGTTTACCCAAGAAACTGCAGGAAACAATTGTGTACAATAATGGAAATAATTTTCCGCTCCACAAAGGAAATGGTCGTCTTCTAACAAAGAAAACAGCCTTGAAACTTTTTAGAAAATTAAAAAAAATTTAACAATATGTAACACCAACGTCTTTATTGCTCATCATATTTCTCAAATAAAAACGAACTCCGTGACGTCAGAATTTATCTCGAAAATTTGCGTTTTCGATTATAATTAATTCAAAATTATAATTGTTTAAAGTTCAACTGATACATCTTATTTCAAGTTCTGATTATCCGTTTTAATGCATATTACAAACTATCTTATTAAAGCGCAACATAAAACAATATCGTTTTGAACTAAAAATAACTGAAGGCACAAAAAAGTTGCATTTTCGGAATTGAACTGAAGAGTATAATGAAAATTTAAAAAATCTACATCTTTCTCTTTTAAAACTAGGGACTGCGTCGGACTGCAAACAGTTATCGGCAAAGGAAACCCTACTGGTAATCTTCTTTGGTTCATCATTAATGGCGATACATTAAACTGAAAAGGCATTGACATTGGTCCCATAGGATAATATCCATAAGTCGTCAAATACTGTAAGGGAGAAGCACTCGCGGAAGTTACTGTAGAGCTAGTTGTAGTAGTTGTAGTAGTTGTTGTAGTTTGAGGTGTTCTTAATTTTGGAAACTCGACGCCAT